TTATCAAACCATGTTTGTGATTGTTGATATGGTTGCTGAAGTAGCTGTGTCCCCTCTGTATTATTGCCCTGGTGTAACTGAATTTGGAGCTCTTGGACAATGTTTCTGTAGGTTTCCATGAGTACATTGGGAGTTTCTGCAGCGATCAGAGAAGTGCGGAGGCTCGTAAGCCGCTCTGTCACCAGCAGGTCTGTTATTCTTTGATTCATGTGTGGGGTCCACTTGACTCGCTTATAGGATCCTTCTGTCGGCTGTATCGAAGATTTATAGGATTCCGTTAAATGGATTTCCTGGGGGGGGAGATGTAATTGAAGCAGAACTGGAAAATGATCACTCTCAGGTTTAGACATAACTTTAAGAGTTTTAGCATAGGGGATAAAATCCCTAGAGATTGCTATATAGTCAATCGTGCTAGTTTTTTCACCTGAGAGGAAGGTGAATTCACCTGGATAATCTCCTTTCAGCGCCCCATTTAAGATGTGAAGATTTAGCCTATATGTTGTTCTGGCTAAGCATAGGCCTGCAAAATTCGATTTCCCTTCCAGTATTTTCTGTTGGTCATGGGAGTTATGTGTGCCAAGATTAGTTCAATTGCATCGCTGGTGGGGCTCGGAATGCTCTTTGATTGTAAGTGAACTATAAATCCCTGCAACCACAACTCCCAAATGACAAAATCAACACCCCCTTCCCAAACCCCACTAGTATTCAAATTTGGGTGTATTGGATATTTGTGTCAAATTTGGTCCAGTGAATGTAAATACATCCTGCATATCAGATATTTACATTTCGATTCATAACAGGGGCAAAATTACAGTTATGGAGTAGCAACAAAAATAATTTTATGGTTGATGGTCACCACAACATGAGGAACTATATCAAGGAGTCATGGCATTAGGAAGGTTGAGAACCACTGTCCTACATAATGGATCATATCCAACTGTGGCTTTGTTATCAGAGCAAGATTTCTTAAGTTGCTATACCCAATTTAAACTGAAGAGCTGAAAGAACTCCTTCCTTGTCTACTGCTGCTCTCTATGCTGAATCCCATTATAGTTCAGTGGATCTCTCAAGCCTCATAAGCAGTTCAGAAGGACAGGGTTGGTAGAAAAAACTGGGTGTTTCAATCATTCCTCCAAAATGGCTTAGTTTTTGCCTTCGGCTAAGACAAGGTCACCATTAGTTGCAACTCAGCATCTTCCTGTTTAATAATTGCCTCATATTTTCTAATAAATATTAAGAAATGTTGTCTCTCCTACTCCCTACACATTTTATTTATATGCACATCAGTAACAATCAATATCCAAAAAAGAATTTTACTTCTGATTCACCCTCATTTAGCAAGACGTTGTGGCATATGGGAAGCCGGCTGATTCGGCTTCTACCTGCATTGTATCAGCTGCTGTCCTGAGCAGTGAAGGTGCATTTCAGGACAGCCTCATTATTTATTTATCCACTGTGTTTCTCCGAAAAATGGAACACAAAGCCGCACACAAATATACCATAGTTAAGGGATGTTACAAAGCATAAGTAAAATAATATGAAATTATTTTTATATATGAAAACTGCACTGATCTCATTTTAATCAACATTGTCTGCTATGCAATGCCTTCCCTTAAACTGTGCATCTATTTCTGCACATAGATCATCAAATTGCATCAAATTTGACTGTTGCCCCTTTAGCTATCAGATTTTGTAGAAACTTTAGAACCAGCATTTTGTTTCCTTCTCCCTTCACGTATCGAATTATCAACTCACTGGAAAGATCATCACACATATGAAAAATGTCACATCTCTGCATTAGCATTCAGGGATAGATAACACAAAAAACCGTTCCATAAAATGAGTTGTAAAAAAATCATCCATTTCTTTCAAGGTGAAAATTCCCTTACCAAATTAATTCTTTTTAGTGGTTCAAAGTAGTAACAGTGGCAAAAATCAAGCAGCAGTGTATAAGAACTGAGGAGCTCTGTGTAGAAGCACAACTGCAAAAACAGCCAGTGGTTGTCTTCACCAACACAGTTATTAATCCTGCAGAAGACAAGGTAAAACACACAGTGTCAACGCCTTATCAACTGTAATGCATCTAAATATCGTATATACTCGAGTATAAGCCAACCCAAATATAAGCTGAGGCACCTAATTTTACCACAAAAAAACCTGGGAAAACATGTTGACTCAAGTGGGAAAAAAATAAAATATATACCAATAAAATTACAATAGATGAGACATCAGTAGGTTAAATGTTTTTGAATATTTATAATTTTGAATATTAAAACTGTAATTTAAGATAAAACTGTCCAATTCTGATTACCTATATATTCGAGTATAAGGCGACCCTAATATAAGCCGACCAGCACCCACACTCGAGTATAAGCCGAAGGGAGGTATTTTCAGCCCTAAAAAAGGGCAGAAAAACACGGCTTATTCTCGAGTATATATGGTAACTTACAAATTGCCTCTTGGTATCTAAAGACACCAAGATAGAGGGAATTATATCCAGCAGTTCTACTTGCACTTCACTTTCTTCAACTATTTTTGCTGGGAGTCTCAAGTCATCCAGTTCTATTATCCTGACTTATTACAGATAGAAACAAGATGACTCTTAGGGCAAAATCCTGTAAAATTTTATCGTAGTGCCAGCCTAGTAGTGCTCACTCCCTGAATTGTAAAATTGACTTCCAGATCTTTCAATCATTCATTGCACAGCACTCAATTACTTCCCCAATCACCAACTCAAAAGTGCACGGGAGAGCAATTTATAAGCTGGTGGAGCAACTGGTACATTAGGGACCATTCTTACACAACCTCCGTATTTACATAATCAGTGTTTGCATCATTATTTTTATCAGCTTACAAACTGTCTCATACATACTGATTAAGCAGTCACATCCGACTGCTCTTCATCCAACATCTTTATTAGAAATGTAAGATAGTGAGAGGGTTACATACTAAATTGGATTTTTCAATTCAGTATCTCAAGTTAGTACGTACAGGCTTTGGTCTAGCCACACAACCCCTACTATTCTTTTTTTTTTTTTCATGGTGTGCAGCAATTAAATTTATAAGTGCCCAATTCCCATAATATTCCATCTCGTTTGCACTGGAAAACACTGGCTACCATACACAAGACTAGCCAGGATCATAAATTCAAACTCTGTTTCAAGATCCTGGCTGGTTTTCTCTTAAAATAAAGGAAGTATATTATAACAGTACAGCCTCCAGTGGCGCAATGAGTGAAACACTTGTGTCAGCAGGACTGCTAACTGACAGGTCAGCAGTTTGAATCTGGGGAGAGTGGGTTGAGTTCCCTCTGTCAGCCCCAGCTCCTCATGCGGGGACATGAGAGAAGCCCCCCACAAGGATGGTAAAACATAAAACACCCGAGCATCCCCTGGGCAACGTCCTTGCAGATGAACAATTCTCTCACACCAGAAGTGACTTGCAGTTTTCCAAGTTGTTCCAGACAGAAAAGTCACTCCTGACATGAAAAAAAATTACAGTACTTATGATCACATCACTGAATCTAGATGAACTGAATCAGCATAAGGATAGAGGTGAATATTTTCCTGCATACGACAAAAACATTCAGTGATTTTGGTTCCCACAAGTGCAGAATTTGCAACAATGTGTAATACAATTAAATTCACCCTGTAATGATCTCTAACCCTATTATACATTTAGATGACATTTACCAACACAGAATATTCATTCTTTTTCATTTCAGATATTTAACAGCTTAATAAACACAGTAATTTTACTTACAGTTAAAAAATAAAGACAATAAAACTATTTGAAAATGCTTTTGAAACACAAAGCCACATGATATTCTAATCTTTCGGTAAGTAAGAATTAGAGATAATTTTACTTTTGATATGGCGATTCTTTCTAATACATTATACAGGCCAACGTTAATATTACATTTTAAAGCTTAACTTTGAACCCTGAATAAACATTACATTTTATATGTCCTAGCAATACTTATTTTGTTCTCGATTTTTACAGTGATAACATTATAATGATATCACTACTAGGAAAGCATAATGAGTCACAGTGATTAAATTACAGGATGTTATGAGAAATAAACTGGACCATCTTACCATGGACAATGATGATCCATTCTCCTAACACAGTGTCCGCATCGGCTGCAGTGATGGGAACGCTTTGGTCTCATCATATTACATTTATTACATAATTCCCAAAAGTCTCTTTCTAAAAGGAGAAGATAAATACCAATTAACATATTTTCAGAATGATTATTGCATTTTGCAATACATTTTTTTTTGACTTGCAGGTATTTTTTCTGAAAAATTATATGTATTTCAATTGATTGCCATATTAGTCCCAGACCCGGAGATTATATCCATTAAGCAACACTATCTTTTATTTGTCCATCATGGCATATTTAACAATACACCATATATATTAATGTATACGTTTGCCTCAAGTGTAAGTTGTAAGGGCAGATTTTGGGGGCCAATTATGGATTTTGATGTGACTTGTGGATAAGCTATGGGGAGGAGAGGGGAAAGCACCTATTGAGCCTCAGAAGGCCAGCAAAGGCAACTCCACAGAATGCAAATCACTGTGGAGATACATGAAGTGCTCCACCAATGCACACATGCACATTCCAGCAAAGAGTCGGGGAAATATGAATTCTCCGCTGTTGTCAAGCTTGGATACTGCAGGTGTGATGAGCGGATTGAATGAATTGTATGTTTGGGGTCTGGCTGGGGCCTATTAAGGTCTGGCAAGGTTGAAGATATCATCCTAAAAATGAAAACTGGAAAACTGCATTATGGAGAACAAAGAAGGTGAAAATTTGATGAACTTTGGCAAGAAAAATGGTAATGAGAAATCCAGAGAACTAACCTGAGAACTTTGGGTGTAAACAACACATGTCTACACAGTCAAAGATAATAACACTTTAAGAAAGAAATTAAACAACCAATCTGTTCCAGAATTGTTGAGGCTCCAGCACACCTAACTTTTTTCTGAAATCTGTCTAGATGTGCTACTTTGAATTCTTTTTCCTTGTATGAAAATACTTTTTCTGAATCAATATTTCAAAAAATGAGTAACAAAATGGGAGGTTAATGCAAAGGAAGAGAACTCTTGGGGTCAACTCTCAATGTTTTATATGAAGAGAGAACATGATTTTATTTAAATCAAATGATTGGATATAGGAACACTGAGTTGCATTGAAACTGAAATGTAACCAGGCAAAATGTCATTTAAATGGCCAAATTCCTCTTTTTATATGCAAGGCATATATAATATTCTATTAAATAGAATATTTACAGAAACTAAATACTGTAATAAATAATTTCTAATTGAATTTGTTTGTATAAGTTTATATAAGTCCTCTTCAGAGAGTTGCCATGTTTCTCGTCTTGTTGAAGAATGACATTATTTGCACATTGGCAATATGGAAACCCAATATTCAAGATCATTAAACTAGTAATAATGCCAGATGGGAAACTGCTTTTCAATCTGTTCCCATAAAGCCAATGTCACAAAGGTGTTACTCTTTAATAAGAGAGTTTAATAAGACAGTTACCATTAACAGAAGGCTCAGAACGCAAGTTTTTCAATGTAATTTAAGGCACGCAACAAATGCATCGGACCACACCATAAAAGCAAAGATATGGAAATCATTTCCAAAATAATATGCAGTTTTGATCAACATCAATGCAACAAAGCAGCATCCATGATGTAAGGTCCATTTGTTTCATTCTGAAGTACAGTTTATGGGGAAAGCTCTTAACTTCAAGCAAGAACTGGGGGGAAATAAATACATAGGCATATCAAGAAGAGGAAGCACTAGCAATTTAAGCGCTGTTTTTATTTCCACACTCAATATGAAAGATTTACATCTCTCAGCATGAAAAAATTAAATTATTTGAAAAAAATATATAATGGCAATAACAGAGCTCCCGGTGGCGCAATGGGTTAAACCCTTGTGCCAGCAGTACTGAAGACATGCCACAGGTTCGAATCTGGGGAGAGCGCGGATGAGCTCCCTCTGTCAGCTCCGGCTCCCCATGCAATGACATGAGAGAAGCCCCCCACAAGGATGGCGAAACATCAAAACGTCTGGGCGTCCCCTAGGCAACGTCCTTGCAGACTGCCAATTCTCTCACACCATAAGCGACCTGCAGTTTCTCAAATTGCTCCTGACATGAAAAAAATGGCAATAATGCGAGATCAATGACTTTATCAAATGTTGTTTTTGCAACAACCACCCTTTCAATAGCAATAAATGAGCTTCAGAAAATATTTCAGACAGTCCCCAGAGTCTCTCCAATTTTTGTTGTTTTCTATTACATGTATAGCATACACTATCTCATCTTTCTGCTTTGTATTTTACTGTTTCTTAATTCCAATGATACACTTCACTCTTGTTTCCCACCTGAAATATGCTACTCAAGTATCTCATCTTTTCCAGTAACTTTTTGTCATCCATTTCTCAACATATGCATCACACATATCCACCTTCAATCAAGGATAAGAAGAGTACAGTTGGCCCTCCTCATTCAAGGATTTCATACTCATGGTTTTGATTATTTGCAAGCTTGTCTGATAAAGAAATCTGATGGTCATGAAAGCCTGCACACATCTGGTGTCTTTTTGGTATTGTCACAGTATGGATTTTGGAATTTACCATGTAGCCAACATGGCTACCTGTCATTTAATGTATGAAAGAGAAGGGAAAAACTGCAATTCACTGCCCCCCTTACTTGATTCATACACACAATTGAGAAAAATATGAAGGTTTATAATAATAAACACTGATATTTAAGAGAATCAACTTGATAACTGCCTACTCCTTCTACATAGTTAGCCCTTGTCATCCACCGGGGTTTAATTGCAGGAGCCTCTGTGGATACCAAAATCCATGGATGTTCAAGTCCCATTATATACAATGATATAGTAAAATAGTGTCAGTTATATAAAATGACAAAATCAAAGTATGCTTTGTGGAATATATATATATTAAAGCATTGTATAGAGCAGTGGTTTTCAACCTGTGGGTCCCCAGTGTTTTGGCCTACAACTCTCAGAAATCCCAGCCAGTTTACCAGCTGTTTGCATTTCTGGGAGTTGAAGGCCAAAATATCCAGGAACCCACAGGATATTTTGGGAACAGTGAGAACCACTATTACAGAGGGATCTGTAAATGCAGAATCTGTGGATACAGAGTTGACTGTATACATAATGCACTGGGGCACCAAAAAAGATTCCATTCAGACTGAAATTAAAATGAATTTTTGAAACTGCACTCTGAAGAAAAGGGGGGGGGGGAATCCAGTAATGAATAGTGCCACCCATATTTGTACCTGTAATTGGTATCTTTGGACTTTCAGGCAGTCTCCCTGGATCTGCTATGGAGGCTCTAAATAACGAAACGATGCAGAGGAATGCAAGTATGTAGAAACCTGTAAAATAGATATACTTCCATTCAGAGAAGTACCATTAACAAGCTTTCTGGGATTACTGAGGGAAATGTTCAAATCACATCATGTCAACATTGTTGCTTGGAGGCAAATAAAAAGGGGGAAAGATAACACAAAGCAAGTTTTGATAGAAAAAACAGAAATATAATCTATGAATGGCCAACGTACCACCCAAATGGCACAGATACTATAGTTATAGCCATGCTAGTCAGGAACAGTGGGGTTTGTAAATGCCTGGAATAGCGTTGGAAAATATGGGCGATAGACTTCAGGATCAGAATGGAATAATCTTATAGGATCTTCCAAATGTCTTAAAACTATATTTGAAGCTGCTTGTGGGCAAAAGTCTACATATACTCTTCTTGATCCCTCCCCATTCAGATATCACAATCTATGATACAGACATTGATTTTAATCCACTTTTACAGATCTCAATTTCATAGGTCTATTTGCACTCTGTAACAGAATTTGAGAAATGTCCCGTTCCTGGTTTGAAAGTGTTATTTCCTGTTTAATTGTGTGGTGTTTACTTTGAAAGCCCCCGGGTGGCGCAATGGGTTAAACCCCTGTGCCGGCAGGACTGAAGACAGACAGGTCACAGGTTCGAATCCGGGGAGAGGCGGATGAGTTCCCTCTATCAGCTCCAGCTCCTCGTGCGGGGACATGAGAGAAGCCTCCCACAAGGATGATAAAAACATCAAATCATCTTCTGTCTTGAGACCATGGCTTACCTGTTGAAATAATCCACCAACAGAATACTATAGTTCTGTTTATAAAGTATGAGGAAAAAAGAACTCTGGATTGGATCCAGACCTGTGCTCAGTAGAGTTGCCCTGGTCAAAACGGGCGAGACAACCACCTTTCTGATTTCCACTGTCCACCAAATGGTATGGCTGACTGTGTGCTCTGATCTTTCCCAGATAGAAGAAGCCTTTTCTAAATTTAGCCCCAACCACGGGACTGTGTGAGAACACGTCCTTTTGCCTAACAAACTGCATATTTAATTAAAAAATAAACAGATAATTAATCATTAAAGATTCAAAGAGGCAGTTCTTCCATAAGTACTAGATGAAGTTAGAAAAATAATGACAAACACGACTTACAGAATATTGCAATCACTGATATATCTTCTTCTTCATGACGTGGAAACAGGATAACATTTGGAATGACGATCAGGTTGAAAAGCCAAACTAAGATAATAAGACCCATACAGAGCCAGCCCTGAGGATCTACTACAAAGTGAATTCGTAGTCCCATGATATGAAATCTGAATACAGGCTATCAATCACAGAATGGGAAAGAAGAGCCTAAAGAAGAAAAGAATTTAGATGAGAATTGGTATAACAAGATTATGAATGTTTTGAAACTATATAGCAGTCGAACAGCGATTTGTGGCATATTGCACAGGAGAGAAACAACATATATGAAGCAAAGTGAAAAAATACTAAATCAAGAAAAATCTTCTTGAGAGCAGGATATAAATATATTAAATAAATAAATAAATTTCACAAGGGAGTTGACACTAAAGAAGCCATACATCTAAACAAGTTCCCATTCAATCAATGGGAATATGGTGAGTCAATCTTTATGTACATTTCACTGATTTAATGGTGCCATTCAAATTGGAATCAGCCAGTGAATTTCAACTCAATGGTTGGTTTGCAAATGATCACACACTGCATATTATAATAACAAAAACTTAGTTTCAAGGCCAAGAATATGTTGAAGAATTTAAACAGCATCTACGACAATTGATGTTTAAATCTTTGGGGGAAACTGAGAAGGCCTTTGCCTGATATGGAAATGAAAACAGTATCACTGCAAAGCAAGCCTCAGTTGGAAGATAATTCCCAAACTGAAGAATCAAAACTAAGAAAGCCCACTTTCCAATTTATTAAATGATGTTGGGCTCTGTAGATGATGTCCATACACTGAGGTCTGAAGATGATGTCTCCATACAAATTACTGTGGAATCATGTGTTACTTCAGAAGCTCAGATCTAAAGAAACAAGGGACTTAAAAGCTGAACATTAGCACTTCAAATTGTGCTCATGGGTTAAGAGATAATAAAGTTCTTGACATAATGGTGAAATAAGTTTCCAATTTCAAGTTACACCTAGTACCATGGCTGCTGTGTTTTACATTAATTACTATTTCTGAACTGTCTTCAAAATCAGTTTCACATAATGAACTGGCAAAGTCAATCATGGATATTCTTACATTATGGACAAGTTTCTGCCAATCACAAGTACTTGTACTTCAAAGGATAAAGTAGGATTTGAGTGCATTTCAAGTGTCTGGAATCCTTCAAGGGAATACAGCTTCATTTCTCAAAACAAATTACCCACCTATAGAAACTCCATCTTGCCAGGGTCATTCATCAGTTCATCATCTCTCATCTAATCCGTTACTGATTCCAACACAGACTCAGCAGTTCATCAGCCTTATCTAAAACAGATGTAAAAAAAGAGAGAAACATATAGAGATGAATATTTCACTGTACTGTACTATAGTACCTAAATCGAAAAGCATGAACAATATCTGCAAAGGAACCAAGCTCCTTTTCTGTGTTTTTCTGTGGACTCTTATTTTCTAACAGACCAACATCAAAAAATATTATCAAAGTATCTGTGATTTCCTCTGAATTTCTCAAGGTTAATCAGAGGCCTTCCTATTGAAGAAAGTATGACTTCATCTGGTTTTTGGTGAAAACAAGAACATATACTAAGCTGGTATAATATAGGAACATTTCTGATCTTGTTTAGTTAAATGGCTCTAACTGCCATACTACAGAGTTTTGCAATAAGATCCTTCTTCTAACATATATTTAGAGCAGAGTGAAAATGTGGGCACAAACCAGAACTTTATCAGGAGCACCTGCTGTGCCAAGTAGAAACTCTTGAAAGGATCCTCAGAGGTCCCTTAGATTCCAACAGATTTCAGTATGAAACATTAATGGTTTGATCAGTTCTGCAGAGCTATTGCAAGCCACAACCTTAACAAGAAGTATAATTATGACCATGGTTATTTCCATCATGCCATCAAAGAAAATTGCTCCACTCTGGGAGGAATGTGATTTTGATCGATCTGTACTAAAGCTGTATCTATATTAGCATACTTCTGACATAACTGCAGCTATAAACAATGTGTGCAGAAAAGTGTTTCTTTCCAAAGACTCCTCCCTACCTTAATTTCGAAGACTATGCACAACCAATTAAGTCACAGCGCAATGCCCACTCCTCCACATTCCTACATGCTAATCTTTGCTTTTCCGACTACACCTACCATGTAAGTGAACTCCACCTAAATTCCTTTTTCTTGAGTCCTAAGGGTTGCGTGAGCAGCTTTTGCAATTGTAACGACTGTGTAGCTTCAAGCTTTAAATAGTCTTACAACTTCTTTATTTGTGCAAACTCCACCAAGCACAAGTGTGTTGAAATTAAGCAGAGGGGAAACTTCGAAATAGACTTTGCTAATATTTTCAAAAAGTGCTGGAAGTGCAGTAAGAAAAGAGTGTCAGTTATTAATATACATATTTGCCATTTAGATTAAAATGGCATTAGTGTTGTATATCGGTCTCATCAAGAAAACTGTTAATATTTTCTTTTTCCCATAAATTCAGAAGCAAGCTGCTCATAGAACAAGAGAAGGGGTTCTTATTATTGACCCCCCTCCCCTTAATTCACAGACTACCACTGCTTTTACATTTCTTCTTATCAACGAGGTTCTGAAAATCTAGATACAGTTGCTTCCACTGGCTAAGAGGCAATGGGGTTATTAGTGTATCTAGGACACTGGCTATCATTGGGAGCAGATCAGTTTTACTTCTTACAATTATCATTTTACTTCTGTTGTTGCTTCTAGCATATCTACTAGTTACTTAGATGGAATCTACCAGTTTTATAGGGCTGTCATACCCAGTTGATATTGTGACTATGTGTGTGGGTGTATGTATTTATGCATGTATCTTGGCATATACATATATGGGGAAAAACTCAATTGAACTCAACATAAACCTGATAAACATTATGCTATAAATTATATGCCATAAATTATGTGCTTACGTATGCCAATTATCCCATGAAGAAGCACCATACAAACAAGTTGTGAAATAAAGCAGCATAGAAATTATGGAAATGGATTATGGAATGCAGTCCAAATGTTGTCAAACTTTGCAGAAGTGAGGGAGAGAAAACCCCTTAATTTCAAATCAATTTCTTCACAGTGCTGTTATTTTTTCCTTTTGACGACTGGTTGATGTTACTGTTAATCAATGACTACATGCACCCTTCATCTAGACATACTTCTACAAATCTAACTTGGAAATGAACACAGAGTCATACCAATCTGTACAGTGGGCAGTCTTGTCTTCTATAACACTGTTAGTACCAAATATTGCATAGCTCTGCTAGTTACAAAACTAAAGCACATAAATCCATAACCAACAACAATTCTTCTAACCTGACCTATTACATAGACTTGTAAAGACATATGCATAGTTTACAAATCACAGAGACAACTAGTCAGTCAAACTTTTATTGTATTTAACTAAATGCTATTACAATTTTATAAAATCTTATAAAATTCAGCAAATGAATACATGTACATGTGCATCCATAACGAATCCCCTGCACAATAAATAGCAATTCCTTTTCAAATAACTAGCACACGAGTCACAGTCTGATAGTAGCCACTAGCGTTTCACATAAGGAGGCAAAAATTTGTCCCGGTAATCTCTTCCTGCAACAAAACTGCCAATGGAGGAAGTAATGTAAGATATCCTCTACTTCACCCGTGCAATAAATACAGAATCCTCAATTTATCAGAACATTTCTATCAGTAATCCAAAATAAATGTAAGCATGATTTGAAAAGACGTTTGTTAATATTTAGGTTTTATGTGATCTGATTTCAACATGATGATACCAATGGAAGGCATTTTTAAATGTAATTAAAACAAAGTCCTGAAACTAAGTTATTATCCAACTTGTAGTTCCAGTTGCTCCACCTGTTTTTTTAAGATAAAAATATCTGTTGAAAGAGTTTAAAGGTTAGTAAGTCTTATATGAGATAAGCCCAGACACCTTTATTCTATTGTTTGCCCAAACAAAACTTAGGGAAGCACTTCGGTGATATGTCCAAATTCACCTTATAATGGGAAAGGGATGTCATGTCAGCTCTAGCCTTCTACAGATAATACACCTCTTACTGGACTCTTTGCAGCTGAATTGACCTTTGTGATCTTCATTATAATCACAGAGATATTCTTTAAAGGCAGTATTAATATCCAAGAGCTTCTGTTTCTCAACCACCTCCTCACATTTCTTGTTTGTATGGAACTGAGTAATTTTTGAGTCTTTGCTTTCTTTGGGAGAAAATTAATAACAGACAAGATAAAGCCAAGAATTTTATAGCCACTCTGAGTCATCATCATGATCTTATTTCCTTATTAAGTTTTTCCTGCTGTTTTAGATTATTAACCTATAGACAGCAGTCAGCATTTATAGCAAGCATGGGCAAACTTTGGCCCTTCAGGTGTTTTGGATTTCCATCTCCCACAATTCCTAACAGCCTACCCGGAGGGCCAAAGTTTGCCCATGCCTGATTTATAACCTCCTATAACTGTAATCTGCAAACTCCTCCATTTCAATCCTCACTCAGACTTCTGTAGCATGTTTAGTATTTTTAAGGTCTTTACAGTTAGAAAATCAACATGCTCCACTTGCTGCTTTGTTGTTTCCACTTGTAGTTTCAAATTCTCCCTTATTTAATAAGCTCACAAGGAGAGAAAGGAAGGGGAGTAAATACGAAGATAAGAAAATGTAAAAGTAAAATTAAACACAAATGACTATGCCTTTGGGGGGAAATGATTAGAGAGTTAGCATGGTTTAGTGGTTTCAGCACTGGGATTATGACTCTGATGATCAGGGTTTGAAATCCCAATAAATCATGGAAACCCACTGGGTAACCTTGGGAAGGTAAACTCTGTCTCAGATAAAGGTAAGACCCTTTTTAGCTATGAAAATTCCATAGTGTCACCATAAGTCAAAAACAATTTGAAGGCACACTACAACAACATAGACTACGATCAGATGTATATACCATGACAAATTTGAGCAGGAGATAAGAGTGGGAGGATTCTGTAATGTGTAATAAAACCAATGCAGAAACTACTGAGGAGGACTAAATGGGATAGCAACATCTCTACCCATCTAACGGTAGAGGATACATCTCTGAATGGGAGAGCTTTTTCCATATATAAAGGCTTCCATATGGTTTCAAATTGTGGTTGTCTAAGTTTTAACATTGGATGAAGAACCTCTGTAGTCAGTGGAGATCTCTTATTTGGGATGCTGCCTCTATCTTTAGATGGTGACAGAAACGGTGACAGGAGAGGTTAGAGGTATTCTATAGACCTGTAATGCCTCAATAACATTATGTTCCACAAAAAAAGGAACATGTCCCTTTGGCCCAAATTATGTTACCACACACAGGAACCTAGTATTGAAAATCACTTTGGGATGTGATGTTCAGACTCAAGCAACTGGAGTGGACTACTTCATCTGTGTAAGACTGGACACCACCAGTCATAGACAAATACGTTTCATCGAGATTCAGTTAAAAAAAACGTGAATGAATTAGAAGACATTAGTGGAAAAACAACCAAAATCTCCCTCAGTTTCTGGCAACTCTCCCCAGCATAAGTTAAAGGTATTTGCACAGTAATGATCTGGTCTAATCCTTTAGGTTGTGTGAGGCCAGAACACCCTGCTATGACTGATCAATAGCTTGATCATGATCTAAGTCACTGCACAAAAAATGAGGTATCTGCACAGCTGGTGTTGAATGACAAATAATATAGAAGCTAGTATCAGATATCATGATCCATGTCATAATAGAAGGAAAAGGACATCCCATTGTTTTGCTACCAGATCCTTGGCTACATATATCACCAGGATGATGTCAATGTTACTTGATTACCATGATCAGAAGAGAATCTAGAAACACTGTCTTCATCCTTATCTCTCAGTACATAAAGAGTAAATAAAGTTATAAACCACAGAGCCGTGCTCTCCATTTTCTATCCTACAAAGGGAATCCAGATATAGCTACTGCCCATATTCAAACATAGACTTTGTTTTTATGAGCTAATAACTTTAAAGGAGCAACCAAACACAGATGGTCTATCAGAACTCTGTTATGGGACATTAACAATTTCAGAAAACAGCAGGATGAGTTCACTGGTGTTCAACATTGCGATCTTGACAACCGCGAAAAAGGCAAAAAGTAGAAAAATGAATCAAGGGAAAAAATCTGAAGTCTCTTTTCAAAGACAAAATTAACTCAAGATTATCCGAGGATGATGTGGGGCAATCATGTAATTATATCTGGAATTTAGAAGGAATTGCATGTATCAATTTTGAAGCACTAAGGGTGCATCTACACCATAGAATAAATGTGGTTTGACACCACTTTAACTGCCATGGTTCAATGCTATAGAATCCTGGAATTTATAGTTTGGTGAGCACCTGCACTCTTTAGAAGAGAAGGCTACAGACTTTGTAACACTATGTCTATGATTCCATAACATTGAGTCATGGCAGTTAAAATGGTGTAAAACTGCATTAATTCTAAAGAGTAGATACAATCAAGAACCAGCAAAATTAAGGAATTTCTCGGGCCCAGTAATCTTTATAGGTTTCCTTGGGCTGCTGTGCAGAAGTTCCAGTTATTCTGAAATCAGGCACCCACCTTTCACTGCTGCAACAACCCCCCCCCCCCCCCCCCCCCCCCAGTTTGAAAACACCACCACCATTAATTCAACATTCTTAGAGATTTGTTCACCTGCTGAACAAAGCATGTTTGGAAGGAAGCTATGGGACCCATTGCATTTTAAGAGACAGAAAGATATTACATTTTGGGAAATACAAGGAGCTGTGACTAAGAAATACAAAAGTGCTTTCCAATAACCATATGGAGGAGCATAGAGGTGATTGGCAGTAGCACTAGGAAGATGTTTCTTGACAGCATCTAGGAGCCTAGATTTGCATCAGGGCAGCCCTCTATGGCACCATGCCCAAGGCTCATTTGAATCCATTGCAAATGCCCTAGCAAGATCTCAGCCTCACAGAACCAAACAGAGCAGGCTCACAAGACACCTGTGGGTTCAGGAAAAGTGCATCCACATCAGTGGTTCCCAATCCTTTTGGCTCGCCCTTTTCTGTATCAATTTCTATGGCGGAGCCCCTTCAGCCTACCCTATGTCTTACAACTTAATGGGGAGAAAGAGGGGATAGATAGTAAGAGAATGTAAAGAAATATCAAAACAATTGCACAATGTCCATGCAATTAAATTGTATTTTACAAAAATTTTGATATTTGTGATAATTCGCAATTTATTCTCAACTTTATTCTTAAATTTCATTCAGTTATTTATTTATTTTGTTTTCCTGGAGCAGCCCTTAGGTTGGGAACCATTTATCTACAATGTAGGATGAATGCAATTTGACTCCACTTTAACTGACATGGATCAATGCTATGAAATTGTGGGAATTGTAGTTTGGAGAGGAACCAGAACTCTTGGATGAGAAGGTTTAAGACTACATTTAAGTATTGAGCCATGGTAATTCAAGTGGTGTCAAACTCCATTCATTCTACAGGGTAGATGAAACCTCAGTCTCTCACACAGCTTGTTGTTGTGTGCCTCCAAGTCATTTCCATACTATGCCAATCCTAAGGGTTACACAATGCTCTATTTTAAGAAGCCGACACCTCCCCAGGAAAAGGAAATTGGAATTCCTCGGCAGCCCTCCTTCTATTAAGTGAAGATGGGAGGAGAGAGATGGCTTCCATGGCTGCCCAGCAGAGGCACCAAGGACCAGCATGGCTCAACAATGGTCTAAATGGCAAACCATTGGCACACATTCTAGGCCCAGTATCTGGCCGTGAAGAAGACTGTTTCCTTTTTTCCATGGGCAAGACAAATCCTAGCTTTCCTCTCCAATCTGGGACTAGAACAGAGCTTTCTAAACTGTGTGTTGCAGTACATTAGTGTGTCGACTCCAGTGTGTAGGTGTGTTACACTAACCTCTGAGTCTATGTGAAATAAGAAATAAATCATATACATTTGTGTGTGTGAGAGATATGTGTGTGTGTGTGTGTGTGTTGTGTCTCCATATATTTCATTATCACAATGTATGTCTGAGTCCATGTATCTTATAAGGGGTTGGTTTAAAACTCAATTACTGTGTTGCAAAATGTGTGTCTGTATCTCCTTTTTCAACCTCAGGTTTTCTAGTAAAACTTAATTACTGTGCCGTGAAATGATACATATATCAAAAGTGTGACACCAACATGAAATGTTTTGAAAGCTCTGGACTACAGAGCTGGGTGAGGCTCGCCCCAGCAGCTGTGTGGTCAATTAAGCTGGATCTCTTCTCAAGCTCCATAGGTACAGCTACACTGTAGAATTAATGCAGTTTAACCCCCATTTAACTGTGATGACTGAGGAATCCTGATAAATGTAGTTTAGTGAGCCATGAGGTCTCATCTGCAGGACAGACAAATGACCTGATAGAACCACAATTCTCATGATTCCATATCCTGCCAAACTGCATTCATTCTACAATGTAGATATACTCTTAAGATTGACATTTCCAGGGAAACAAAGGCTAGGCGCATATTGTGAAGGCAATAGGACCCTTCTGAACTTGGAAGCTCTGGCCAGCACTAGAAGAACACTAAATAATATATGAAACTACGTAGAAGAATTATAGTGTAGACCAGGCATGAGCAAACTTCAACCCTCAATTCCTAACAGTAGGCTGTTAGGAATTGTGGGAGTTGAAGTCCAAAACACCTTTGTTGTTGTTTATTCGTTCAGTCACTTCCAACTCTTCGTGACTTCATGGACCAGCCCATGCTAGAGCTCCCTTTTGGCCATCACCACCCCCAGCTACTTCAAGGTTAAGCCAGTCACTTCAAGCATAAAATCCATCCATCTTGGCAATGGTTGGCCCCGCTTCCTTTTTCCTTCCATTTTCCCCATCACCCTTATCTTCTGCAAGCTTTCCTGTCTTCTCATTTTGTGGCCAAAGTACTTCATCTTTGCCTCTAATATCCTTCTCTCCTCTGGACTGTTTTGATCTTCTCGCGGTCCAATTTTCCTCCAACGCCACACTTAAGAAGCGTATATCTTCCTTCACTCAGCCTTTCTTACTTAGGCAATCCCTCGTTGTCCGAGTAGGATTGTCTTCCAAGATCGGTGTACTGGCGGCGGGTCCGTAGGTGACTGTAGAGCCCTATTCTTGATCTGCATCTTCTCCTGCAGTGAGGGCATTGGTTTCCAGGTGGAAGGCAGTCCCTGTCAGGGTTGGCTTGATGCACCTTCCTCTTGGCACGTTTCTCCCTTTTGCCCTCCATTCGTGCCTCTTCAAATTCTACAGCACTGCTGGTCACAGCTGACCTCCAGTTGGAGCGCTCATGGGCCAGGGCTTCCCAGTTCTCAGTTTTGAAGGTTGGGATTGAGCCCATCTTTAAATCTCCTTTCCACCAACATTCTGTTTTACGTTCTTGAGTTCGAAGTAGAGCAACTGCTTTGGGAGACGGTGGTCGGGGGACAATGTGGCCGGCCCAGCGGAGTTGACCTTTCTTATGCCATTCTTATGGTCCAGCTCTCTCACTCATAGGTTACAATGCGGAATACCATCGCCTTAACTATGTGGATCTTCGTTCGCTATTTTATCGAGATTGGAACACTTGGAGGGCCAAACTTTGCCCATGCTGGTGTAGAATAAATGCGGTGTGACACCACTTTAACTGCTATGTCTCCATGCTGTGGAATCCTGGGAGTTGTGGTTTTACAAGTGCTTTAGCCTTCTCTGCCAAAGGAGGCAGGTGCCTCAGTAAACTCCAACTCCCATAATAGTGAGCCATGGTAGTTACTGCATTAATCCCACAGTGTAGATGCACCCCAAGAAAGCTAAAGGTAGGGTTAGCCAACTAGCCAATGGGGAAACAGTGCTCTTTCATGGGGGCACAGCAGCAGAGGGCAAACCAAGCCAGCATTCCTTTAACCTCTCTCTCTCTCTGCTTCATCCCCACAGAGGCGCCCCAACTTGGGACTGGGCCCCGTCACCATGGCAACGAGGAGGGAGGAAGGGAGGGGCCCGAGCAGCAGCAGCAGCGCCCCCTCTCGGCGCATCCCCGCCCCTTCCCGTCTTTTCCCATTCACTCACCGGCGGCAGGCCTTGCCGACCCTCTCTCCTTCCATTCAGCGTGGCTCGCGCTTCCGCAGTCCTTCTGCGCAGGCGCGTCACGGGGAAACCCAAACCCGAGATTGGACTCCAGGGGAGGAGGAGGAAGCACTCTCTTCCTGGAGGGAGGGAGGGGAGGGAGGAGGCTCTGTTGTGTTGCTGCAGTCGCATTAAGCAGAGGGTGCGTCTACACTGTAGAATTAATGCAGTTTGGCACCCCTTTGGAACTGCCAGGGCCCAATGCTATGGAGCCATAGGAGCTGTAGTTTATCAGAGATGGTAGATTGGAAAACTATCCCTGAATGCCATAGCATTACATAGTGCATCAGGAGCCCCCAGTGGTGCAGTGGGTTAAACCCTTGTGCTGGCAGGACTGAAGACTGACAGGTTGCAGGTTCGAATCCAGGGAGAGCATGGATGAGCTCCTTCTGTCAGCTCCAGCTCCCCATGTGGGGACATGAGAGAAACCTCCCACAAGGATGGTAACACATTAAAACATCCAGGCGTCCCCTGGGCAACGTCCTTGCAGACAGCCAATTCTCTCACACCAGAAACGACTTGCTCCTGACACGACAAAAAAAAAAATACTACCACTAGGCAAAAAACAGTACTACCACTAGTACTACCACTAAGCCTCCCACAAGGATGGTAAAAACATCCAGGCGTCCTTTGGACAATGGCCTTGCAGATGGCCAATTCTCTCACACCAGAAACAACTTGTAGTTTCTCAAGTCGCTCCTGACACACACACAAAAATAGTGCATTGGGGAAAAATAACAATAACCTATATCTGGGAAATGTTTGCTTCTTGAATGAATGATTGAAAACAATTTCTATCCCACTCTTATCTCCATGGAGGCAGCTTACAACACATTAAGGCAAACATTCAGTGATGTATAACAATACAAAATATTGTTATACAGGGGCACATGCCCATACAGTCGGCCTTCTGTATCCAAAGATTTAACCATCAACAGCTTGAAAGCAAACTTCTTCTACTCAGCACAGAGACAGCCATCACTTAACATTGCTAGAGATGGCACATTCTTAGATGCACCACCAACATTTTGGAATGCTTTCCCAGTGCGATAAGAGTCTTCAGGAAAACTTGAAAACTTTCCTGTGTGGAATAGCTTTTAACTAATTTTTGGTAACCAAAGGGGCCCTTGAACCAAATCCCAGCAGATACCAAGGGTCTATTGTGTTGACTATTGACTCACAATGAAGGAAGGGTACATTCACAATGAAGGAAGGGTACACACTAGGTGAACATTGCCTTCATTGGTGGGATGATTAATCCATCCAGAAAATCTGGTATTATCTGCTTCGGTATTCATAGCTCAATGTTATGGAATCCTGGGAGTTTTATAAGACGTTTAGCCTCCTCTGTCAAAGTGTGCTGGTGCTTCACCAAACTACAACTCCTAGGATCACATCTCATTAAGCCATGGCAGTTAAAGTGATATCAAATGGCAGTAATTTTACAGTGTAGATGCAATCTGAGTAAAGATGCTTAGGGTGCATCTATTGTGGTCAAAACAATGCGAGGAGATAACACCATACCTGACCTGTTAATCCCAAAATAATGCAAATTATAATGCTACTTCGATCACATTAAAAGGCTCTGAAAGAAAAGGGGAAGGGCCTTTTGGTTCCTCGTTCAGAGTGGTTAATCCAAAGGCCTCAACGGCGGATTAGGTGGAAGACAACATGGTACATGTTACAATGGCTGTGAAGGCAGAAGAAAGCTGCAACAGATTGAGAAGTCACTGCCATCATGTTAACCATGCCATGGGTGGGACCTTCATTGGCTGTGCACCAACCTCCACACATTAAAAAAAATCACGGACAGGCATCTTCCAAGTTGACACTTGGAAGGCCATTATACTCGGACAACGAGGGATCGCCTAAGTTAGAGTGTTTAAGAGCTGTCAACAAATGTATGACTAAATAATATTGAGTATGTTACCACATGCTGTCGGCTGTATATCAGAGGAAGGAACTGGTAGAACTACCTCTTGAGTATTCCTTGCCTAAGAAAACCCTATGAAATCCATTGGGTTGATATAAGTTGACAAACAAGGGATACAAATATTCATGGACCCACAACCTTGCAAGGATATTAATAAAAGGGCTTTTGATTGCAAAATAATGAAACAAGTCTGTAACTCATTCCACCTTCTCCAAGTTTTTCCCCCTTCAACAGAATGTAAAAGCAGAAATAGTCAGCAGATTGTCCCAGTCCTCTTTATTTTCTTTGTATAGCTATTTTTAAAAGGAGTATTTTGAAGCGAGTTTTGGCTGGAGACCATCATCAGCTATGGCTAACCGCCATCGGCAGCTCACAATGGACAGCAGCTTCACTGCTCCCAGCTGGGAATTGTGCCTTGAGCACCCAGAACCGATGCACATCCACAACCGCTTGGCTCCGAAGAGGCACCCCTCCATCTGCCAGGGTGGCACGATGCCCACCCTGAATTAGCCTGACTCCTGCCCTGCAGCAGAAGCCCAAACAGAGGCTAAACTGAAAGAGATGAAGCGGGCCGTTTTGAGATTATCATTATCACCAGGCACAGTCATATGCATTTACCAAAGATGTACTTAATGACTAAGTTGTGAGTGCTGTAATATAAAATAACACAGCATAAATATGTAGTACATATTTAATCTAGAAAGGACTTTATGGAATGTAATATTATTGTTTTTCTTAGTCTTATAAAAGGGGGGGGAGTGTATAAATATATGAGGAACTGAGCAGAGAGGTGAATCTATACTGTAAGTTTGACGCAGTTTGACACCTTTTAAATTCATGACTTAATGCTATGGCATCATAGGAGTTGTAGTTTACAAGGTCTTTAGCCTTCTCTACTAAGCAGTGCTAGTGCCTCACCAAACTACAAACCCCCAGATTCCATAGCACAGAGCCATGGCAGTTAAAGTGGTATCAGACTGTGCTCAATCTACAACGTACCCTAAGACAGCAGTCAGGAAAGACAGTAGAAAAAATGCTAAGTAAAGGAACAGCTATCAGGAAGTGCCAAATCCTAGACTATTCTTATATCCCTTTTCTATCACTAGTTTACTTGGGAATGGTGTGGATGCCATTTATCTGGATTGCAACAAGCATTTCATAAGATCCTCCATAATGCTTTAATTAGCAAACTGATTAAATGTGGGATAGGTGGGAACATTGTCAGATGGATCCATACTTGGCTGGAATGCCATGCTTTAAAAAGTCATCATTAGTGGCTGTGCTTCAGACTGGAATGAGGTCTCGAGTGGAGTGCCTCAGGGTCCTATTCCAGGGCATCCCTCTTCAATATGTCTATCAATGATTTATGATGGAAGAGGGTCCTTATCAAGTCTGCAGATGATACAAACTGGGAAGGACAGCTAGCACATTGAGGATAGGAACAGAATTCAAAAGCACCAACATAAATTAGAAAATTGGGCAGAAATTAGTAAAATTAAATTCAGAACAGACAAATGCTAAATTCTATGTTTAGGACACAAGAATCAAATGCACAGGTACAGGATGGATACGTGGCTCACCAGTACTACATGTGAAAAGGACCTTGAGATTATTATTGATCACAAATTGGATATGAGCCAGCAGTATAATGCTACAGCAAATAATGTGAATGCAATTTCAGCTGCGTTAATAAAAGCATAGTTTCTATGTTGAGCTCAATTCAAGGTGCTGGCATTGGCCTATAAAGCCCTAAACGGTTCCGGCCCAAGATACCTAACTGACCGCCTCTCGGCCTATGAGCCCACGAGGACTTTGAGATCTTCCAGGGAGGCCCTGCTCTCGATCCCGCCTGCGTCACAGGCACGGCTGGCGGGGACGAGAGACAGGGCCTTCTCGGTGGTGGCTCCTCGGCTGTGGAACACCCTTCCCGTAGACATCAGGCTAGCCCCCTCCCTGTTGATATTCCGCAGGAAGCTAAAGACCTGGCTTTTTACGAAGGCATTTGAATAGACTGGTAATTTGACCATAGGAATGGAACAATGGAAATGATATCGGTTTGTGAATTTGACGATGAGACGACTCGGAATGGCTTTTGTGGTAATGTTGATGTTGATGTTTTTTGATGAGATGTTTTGATAATGATTACTGCGGATTATTTTACACTATGTTTGTATTTGCACCTGTTTTTCTATGTTGTACACCGCAATGAGTCACCATTAGGCTGAGAATTGCAGTATATAAGCGAGGTAAATAAATAAATAAATAAATAAATAAGAACTGCAGCCATTTCTGGGCATCTTGTATTAAGAAGCATATAAACAAGTTGGAGAGAGTTCAGAGTAGGACAACTTGGATAATAAAGAAGTATGGAAAACAAATCCTATGAGGCCATGTTAAATGAGTTGGACATATTCAACTTGGTGAAGACAAGCCTGATAGGTGACCAGATTGTATTCTTCACATATCTCAAGAGAGGAGGAGGCAGGTCTGTTCTCTGCTGTCCCAAAGGGAAGGACCAGGTCTATAGATTTGAGGTTAAAGGAGGCTAGATTTTGATTAAATGTCAGAAGGAAAGATATGTATATATATATAAATTTATGTCAGTATATTTTTATATTTACAAAAAATTAGGAATGGAAAAGAAGATAGGTAAGTTGTTATTCATGGGTAGAGGCAACTCCAATAATGTTGAAAGATTCTTTCCATCAATTGCTGTTCCACTTGAATCCTTTGTCAGTTCAATGTACTTTATTCAATTTTAAAAGCCAATTGTTGTTATTTTTAGATTTACCAAGTATATGGTTAACAGCTCCCAATCGTTTTTTCAAAGTATTTGCATCTTGATTCTGTAGCTGCCTGGACAGCTTGTCCATTTCGGAAAGTTCCCTGAGCTTCAGTTTTCATTCTTCCATTGTTGGCATTGTAAGTTATTTCCAATATTTTGCAAATAGTATCCTGCTTGCTCATACAATGTATTGAAAAATTCTTTCACATTCTTTTGAAATTTGTTTCTCAATAAAACCTAATAGAAAGGTTTCAGGCTCTAAAATAATGTTGATGTTTAATATATTTTCCATTATTTTATGTATTTTT